GCCCTCCCTACCCCCACCCCCGGGGAAACGCCCTAAATTTCGCACCCCCTCCCCGAAATCCACCACGCTATAATCCCGTTCCATTGTTCGGCCCAGTTTTTTACGCGTGGATTAACCCTAAGCCGGAGATTAGTGGGAGATTAAGAAGGATTAAGCCGCTTAATCCGTCTATTGTGCGTCTATATCCACACTCTAAGTAGTCTTATTCAGACCAAAACACACTGATCTTGCGAAAGATCCAAAGAAATTTGACAAGCCAATTGTCGAATTCCCAATCTATGCCCGCGAAGGGGAGGGGGGTCACGCAAACTTTTGAATTGTGCAGAATTGTGTTTTATATTTATGCTATATCATATTTTGAATTAGAACAGGAAACAGGCCATATTAAAAAGCCTTCGTTTTATAATGTTTTCATAACACCGGGGGTTTACGAAAAACACCGACCGCCGACCACCGACCAGTCACTCTCCACAGTTAGGTACATGTGGTCGGTGGTCGGCTGACGGTCTTTTACATAAAGATGAAAAAATGCAAAATTAGAAGTAAAACTAAAACTGGGAATCCAATGACTATAGTACCTTTACTACCGTTGAATATTTCAGGATAATAACAGCGGAGATGTATTGGATTGTACAAGGCGGTAATAATTCAAGATCAGATAAGCAAAAAAATACCGACTTGGGCAAGGCTAGGTCGTGATTTAAAAACGTATAATTAATCATTTCAAATCACGTTGAAAACGTTACATCGTCGTGGTGTGTAATGTCATATTTTTAAGTGATGTTTCAGTTGTTAGAAGACCAATTTTATCCTGGTTAGTCACTTTGGAAAAAAACGCACGTAACATTGCATTAAGTTCATTCATATGAAACGCAATAACAAAAACACACAAACATCGTCGATGTTGACGTCGTAACGTTATGTTTGATTTCTCAGTTGGCTTTCTAATGGTGAACTGCAATGGTAAGTCACTTTTAATCCCGATAAGAGAACGCATGTAGCATTATATCGTGTTCAGTAGGCTATGACGATAACAAATCATTTTTGTTTCGAAATTGTTAAACCTGCACATCGCTCCAAAATGCAATATGTTGACATATATTGTTTTTACATTTTCAAGCTTTAATATAAAGTTTATGTAAATAAAAATTGTTTTTTTCTGCATAATATCAAAGAACAATCATTTAGTTAAAAAAAAAAGTTAATTAGTGCGGGATTGGAACCCGGGCCTCCTGCGTACTGAGCGAGCATTCGACCGCAAGGCCTACACGACTTAGGTTTAATGCTATAATTCGGAAGTGACGTCATGTTCTTAATTTAGAAACCTTTCCAGAGGGGGAGAAACACCAGGGTTCAAAGATGACATACGCTTATAATGTAAATCTGAATTGAGATGACATCGTCGCTGATTGGTCAAAAGTCGACAAACAAATGACGTCATCGATGGCGGTTTCAAAATTTTCGAAATACGCTTCGAATAATATTATGTTCATTTCTGGCGTGTTAACCAATATCATAGCTTCTCATTTCACATCAAGATAAGGAAAGGTGTACGGAATATGCCTTTGTCAATTAAAACATCCCATCGAAGTGTAATATTTGATAACTAGCCGATGAAAATTCGAACGAACGAAGGTGGTAAGCAAGAGAGGTAATAATGTCTGTCATCTTAAAACTCTGGGGCTTTCCCTCCTCTTAAACCTTTCCAAAATCATATCGTCGTCACCAATCGAAGTAATTCGATGAACAATCTTTGAAATGACACATTCATCGTAAGTATTTATTTGCCCCATTTGTTCATCATTCTATAATCTTTCATTAAGCTCAAAATGATAAAGTTCACCCCGAAACAACCCAAGATTGCGTTTTGAAGCGATGTGCAGGTTTAAATTTCATAAAAAGAAATGATAGGTTGGTTAATGATAGGTTAGGACCTAAGGCAGGACAATTAATCGAGAGGAGACGGTCATGCCCAATTTGTTTGCTTGCCATTCGTTGCAAGGTACAAAATCGGTAAAACGTTGCCTAGTCCAACGATTGACATTCAAAATCAAATTATTAATATTTTAAGGCTACAAATATGTTCGGTCTTTTACATGATATGGTCGGTCTTTTACACATTTTCTTCAAACCCTGTTTTGAGGCTACCAGTGGAAAACACCGACCGGTCGGTGGTCGGTGGGGTCGGTCTTTTTCGTAAACCCTAACACCGGTATCAACTTCAAGTTGATTCAAGATTACTGGATCACGTGACCATCATGAGACGTACAATTTTTACCATGTGACCTAGATGGCATTTTGAACTTTGGCATAACCAGAAATGAATGTAGAAAGTCAGACATTGGCTTATCTTCTAATTGCCCCATTATTGAGATTGCTTATCATCGCTAGCATTGTTACTAGGAGTCCCACGATAAATCGGCTCGTTTCGTAGCGATCCGAGCGAATCGATCTCGTGGCTATAATATCGCTGATTTCGATTATCGTTCTGAAAGAGATCTAAGTCTACACAGTAACACATGCCTTATTTTGGTCTAGAAATGAACAAAATCTCCGCTGTCGAACAGTTTTTTGTTTGTTTATTTTTTTCGGACTCATGACACGCCATGACCTGCCGCATATTAAAATACGCGCGCCGACTTAATTTAGAATTATGGTCAATTCACAGCTTTGATAAAAACCCGAACATTAAACAAATTTATTACTATCTTCGACAAACAAGGATTAAATTAATCCACCTTTACTTTTTAACATCTTTAGTAGTCAAGTAAGAGACCAAACCACGCAAACATCCGTAATATCCGTTTTTAATTAGTCCGAAATGTTCGTCTTTTTCTTTTCTTTGCCGTTCGACAAATTACCGCAATTACATGTCTGAGCTACAAAAATTGAAAACTCAACAATTTGAATCGAATCGAATCGTTAATCGAATCGTTAGGTAAATATCGAGATTCGAATCGAATCGGTGGAAAATGAAGCGTGGGACCCCTAATCGTTACCCGTGAAACTAATACTCCTCTCCTACCATTCACTATTACAGGCCTGTCAACTGTCCCGCAATGTGCGTATTTGTCACGCATTTGCTGAAGAATTTGAAGTCACGCCAGTTATTTTTGCGTGACAGAAAATGTCACGCAAATACGCATTTTACCTGGTAATTGTCAAGCAAAAATATTTCTGTAGAAAATTTTCTAAAAAAGATCGTCTACACAGCAAAAATACGAACACCGGAAAAAAACGTACGCATTTCGTTCGAACTTTTCAAGCGAATTACGTATATGTCACGCATTCCGTTCGAAATTTTTCATACCTACCCCCCGGCCCCCCCCCCCCCCCCCCCCCCCCCCCCCCCCCAGTTGATGGATGTTTGAAACGCGAGCGTAGCGAGCGCGAAAAATTTGAGGTGTTCAAAATTTGGCAAGATGTAATAAAATTTAAACCAAGGTGTTCAAAATTTGGATCAAGGTGTTCAGATTTGGACCAAGGTGTCCACATTTTGAGGGGAGGTGTTCAACATTTCCAAGTCACTCATGTTAGGTGTTCCCAAGTTGACAGGCCTGCTATTAGGGCCTGCTACTCTGAGTACAGAGTATTGTATTACAGCATGCTAGCAGCATAGACGCTGGATGATTTTGAGGTTATACATAGTGGCACTGTAACTCGATAACTTGTGTCCCTGATTCTGAATAAATGTAATAAAGAATGCCTACAGTTTAAGTTAAGTTTTACATGAGACCTAATTCTATCACAGTAACTTCCTTCACATGTTCGATCGCCAGTAAACATTCACACAAAATGACAGAATTAGGGAAAAGAACAAGGAAAGCTCCAGAAATGTATGGGGATTGGGAGGTCATGGGCTAACAGTGCAAGATCTTAACGTTTTGTATTTGACTTTATCGCTAGAATAATGGGTGCATTTGACTTTTTAACCAAAATTGATGTTTGATGCACTAAAAAGTTTTACTAATTGATTTATATAATAAATTCATAATGCACAAAAATCCGGAATGTTATAAAAACCCTTCGATCTTCGACCTGCACCTTCGACCTTCAGCTTCGACCTACAGGGTGCCCAAAAAGCGGGCCAAAAAGAAAGTTATAAAAACCCTTCGACCTGCACCTTTGACTTTTCTTATGAAAATTGTCAAAGTCCAAAAATATTTCTCTGAAAAACGACTAAGTCCAACTTCACATAGATTTAATGAAATTGAACGGAGCTCTGTCCTCGTCGAAAGCTAGCTGTCATCTCTTGAGTTTACATCGGCGAAATACTTTATAGGCCTGGTGACGTCATCACTTTTCGGACAAGATTTCAAAGTTAAATAACAAGTTATTGACGCCATATCCCGTTTTAATATTGATCACACAACAAGACTATGATTGGAACTCAATAAATAGAACAGTAATTGATTTAAGATCTTAATGATCTCACCTGTGAACCACAAATCAAGTGACTCTTGCGTGGTCTGAGATCGGCAAAAATAGCTTCTATAATATTTTCTTTTTGGACACCCTGTAAGTCGAAGGTGAAGGTCGAAGGTGCAGGTCGAAGGTCGAAGGGTTTTTATAACATTCCCAAAAATCCCGGACTAAAATCAGCCGTTCTTCAGTCTGGTTTGTTTTGGTACACTTTGTATCTTAATCTACTTAGTCTACTAAATTGATTTCAAGAACTGGTATACGTGAGATTTAATGCAGGATATTTCATACAGACTATAAACTACCACCTTTGATTAAAGTGTGTATGCTGATTTGCGCATTCCCTCACTTTCTTAAAAAAATAGAGAATAATTTCAAAATTACATGATGAGAAACACACTCGGACATGTGCCACAACATAGTATATATTCAGTCTTATTTATAATATATTTCACTCTGGAATTACGCACAATGAAAGTTGTATTTTATTTACAAGTAGGCTACATTTCTGTTAGAGGTGAAAACATAGCATCAAGTTTCAATAGAGCTGCTTGGAGCACTTCAATCAGTTGTGTTGACAGCTCTCCTACATTAGCGGGTCTATTATTGATAAAGAAAGTGGCCGCTCATTTCTGGAAATGGACCTCCAATCTTTCGAGTAACCTTCATGTAGGATAAAATAACGTTATAAATGTAAGTAAATATTTACCTTTAATGTGTGGTGTTGTAATGATTTTATCAATCTCATTGCCGAATTGAGACAGATGATCTTCTTTTCGTATCATTATGGCGACGTAACTTGGCAGAAAAGTCGAACAGCCGGAACAGGTCTAGATATCTATCTTCTTTTTTTCTGAAAATCCATATATTTGACACAGGGGCTAGTCTGGAGGGTCGGGCAAGCCCTCCGATGAGTAAACTGCTTTTTTTCAAGCCCTCCGATGAGTGTACTGCTTATTGAGACAAGCCCCTGTGATATTTGATGTTAAAACCTCAGAGTCTTGGTCGTTCGTTGGCCGTGAATCAACAATGAGAATTAAATAACGGATTTCGAATTCATATACCTGTATCGTCAAATTCTCTGAACATAGCGTGATACTTAGAATTGTGAATGGCGTTATTTAGATAACCTAGTTCCAACTTTAGTTGCGCACAAAATACAAACGCGTATATTTTCAGTCTTCCTATCGTTCGTACTTTTATTATTTATTTATCTGATAAAACCCTTGGATGACACGCTATAAGTTTATAAGTTCATACCTAACTTAATTTTGATTTTTACTAAACTGAAACTGAAAACTGATTGAATACGATAGCTTTTTAAAGGGACCCAACACCATGGTCACATGATCAGTCGTGTGGAGGTAAGATCCCAGTTGAAATAAAAGCACTGTCCTTTGGTTTCTGTGAAAAGTAGCTAATACCCTCATGTATTGGTCAGTTTGTGTGTCACACGACTAATCCATACCATATGCTTCATTCAACATATTTTATGCTATTGAGTTGCATATATAAACAGTACTTTGCAACTAAGGTCATACAGTATACTTACCCCTTGCAAATTGTAATTTATTGAATTCACAGTAAACCCATCAATTTTTAAGAAAACAAAGAATATTGTTCTCATGGATCTATTATTTATGTTAGACTAACTATGAAAATATAAATATGAAATAATATGTTAGCTTGAAGTCATATATAAGATGAAAATATATGTTCATGCATTTGCATTTTCCCAAAGGGAATATTCCCATGTAAGTAAATACAGGTGCAATATATAATTTATATGTATATCTATGTCATCTGTCTATACATGCGCGTATAGCCTAGTGTTACATGTGAACAAGATGGTTCTGGAAAGAAATGAGCGTGGCAGATTTGCTAAAAAGCCACATACACCACAAAAGCAAGACCAATTTGAAAGTAAGTTCATTATTCTCAAGGGTACACTTCAAGTGAAAGCTACATTGCTACAGGGTGGCCTATCATTCTGAGACAAATGTATTATCCAACGATTGTGATTTTCGAAGCTAAAATATGATATCTTGAGCAGATGGAAATACATTCCCATGAGATATGTATATATAGTCAAAAGTGATAACTATTTATTGAGTGTAATGAAATGTATCCTTCGCTAACTGCTTTTGTTTGAGATAATTATCATGAAATATTTTTAAATTAATTTTTATGTGTGTCATTGATCCTAATCCACCCTGTAGTCTGGTGTTTGTAGAGCATTGCGACTCGTACATCTTATTCTCACAAATATCAAACCTCATTTACTAATTAATTTTTTGTGTGAATATGAAGAGTCCAAGCATTGCTTTTTTATGTTTATTGTATAGCTATATTTAGCCTTGATATCCATGATTTTTTAAAACAAAATCTCACCGTTAGATTTCGAGCTATTCATGTTTACTCATTTGTCTAATTGGAAAACAATGCAAATCTCATTTTTTCAAAAGAAAAAAATTGAAATTCTAAGACGGTGAAAAATCATTAAAAAATACACAGATTCAGTTTCCGGCAAGCATTTTCCCTTATTCCTCTCCGTTAAGAAGTTTTGTAAGGTGTTGGGTCCCTTTAACTCCTGCTATTTCCAGGACCATGAACGCACAATAACCTTTGCCTATTCACAACTGATTTCATATAGCATCATTCTTTCTCAATAAAAGTACGACTAAGATCTATGCCAAAAAATATATGCGCTCGTATGACATGGACTCTGAGACCTTTGCACTTTATACAACACCACTCACGTGACACTATTGTTTTTGTCATCACATCCGAAAAATTGGTAATGTGAGACATCTTGGAATAAAATCACAATCATGCATGGTAATTGCATTGAATACTTGCGTAAGCTTATCTATTGCTAAATTGTTGTATGTTTGTCGCCTGTTGTTAAAATGACAAATCGTTGGTTACTTTGACCTTGGAATAAAAATAAAATGGTTTAGTGTTCCCAGCTTTGACGAGTCACATCATTTCGTGAAGACCACGTCAATTTTGCACTGTTTCCCTGACGACGGTAAGTTGTTTATCGTGTTGTTTTGGAAACATGTAAACCGTAATTGGTAATATAAACCACATTTCACAAATATACAATATACTAAATATACAAGCCATTTACTTACCAACATCGAAGCAGGTAGAAATATACTTCGATGCAATTTGGCGCCGTAGTGTACATGTAGTCCCGCGCATACACGACGTGACATCACAATTCATAAGTAGCTTACAGGTAGATACAGATATTTCATACATGAAACAATCAAAGACATATTGTGTTGCCATTCCTTTGGTATCACCAGAAGGCGCGTACATCAAGGAGGATTGGCTCCCAGGATCGAAACTCGATATTTTCCAACAATGAAAACGTCGAAATGTCGTTATTTTCTGAAATTAAAACCGACTATAAATTCAAAATAAACAGTCCAAATGATTCGAACCAATATCTCGATCATTTCTCCTGAGTTTTGGAATTTTTCGTTCGGAAACAAGACCAAAATTCACGATTCAAATCCTTAATGGTGGCTGTTTGAATTCAAATTTTGTATCACGACATGCCCATATATGGGACAGAATATCGATGTTGCACTCTGGGAGCCAATCCTCCTTGCGCGTACATAGAGGTTATTTGACGGGAGTACATCTGAAGGAAAAAAAATATATCTACCCGAGGGACCGTAAGGACCGAGGGTTGATATATTGTATTTACCGAGGGATATGTCCTGTATCAAAAATCGAGCATTTGATAACTGATTTATCCAATGCTTAGTAGATTTTGAGATTAGTAGATTATATTTAAGTACTAGTATGCATTGAATGTTGTGGAACCCTCATGTAATAATTGCAAATGATAACTACAATCAAAACATATCTTATCTAAATGTAAAGGTCTTAACATTTATTGTTATTTAAAAACGAAATAAAACGAAATTCCCGGGAATTGTTGAGCGGGTGATATATATGTATCTCTCGCTCACCAGATATCAATTATATTCCCGCATGTTATTTACCTATAACACTACTAAGTATGGGATAAATGCAATAATGCAATGGCAATTAATGTTTGGTAATAGCTACGGTATGACTGTCAGGGACAGCTTTTGGGGGTTGTCAAGTTTGCCGAGCGGTTTTGAATACTGAACACGCTAAGCTAGACGCAAAAGTTGATTACTTTTCCACCATAAATCCTATGATCGTACCAATTCACCAAATATACAGGGTTGGCCAAAAAAAACAATACCCAACTTTAAATCAGACTGAAAATAGCTATGATACACTGATTTATATATCATTTTAAAGGTTATCCAATTTCGAACAATGTGGAATATAACACTATGTCATGAAATCAATATTAAAGTTTTATTATGCTTATTTGGGTCAGTATTTAAGGTATCCAGATTTTAGGGAGAAAATAGTAAATCTGCGGAATAATGTTAATTTTTTATTTATAGAATATCATTTTGTTAGGTGAATAAATGCTTGCATATTGTGTGACTAAACTTATTGTTTATGAATTTTAGTGTTGTTAAAAAGACAAAAAACATATATGTGACGAGGATTTTATTTTCCAACAAGACATTGCCCCGTACCATAGATCTCAAGAGACATTGGCATTCCTTTGCAAACAAGGTGTCAATTTGATTGATCTCGATGCTTGGCCACCCAACAGCCCCGATGCTACATGTAATTTGTTTGATTACGATACATGGAGCCATCTCGAGGAAATGGTACAATCAAAAGCATCCAATAAACAGCTTTGATGTGCTGAAACAGAATCCTAAAGTGCTGAAATGAATTGCAACAGAAATCTCTCAATAATGTTATTGATAGATTGCGCTACCACTTGAAGCTTATTGTTGATGCATAGGGGAGGGGGTGGGGGTATATTGAGCAATTGTGAAAATTGTTTAAATAAATAAAGTGTAAAATGTTATTAAACAACACTGAAATTCATAAACAATAAATTTAGTCAAACAATGATGAAAATATCAGTATCCAAGCATGTATTCACCTAACAAAAGAATGATATTCTATAAATAAAAAATTAACATAATTCCGCAGACTTGCTATTTTCTCCCTTAAATCTGGAGACCTTAAATAGCGACCCGGCCTCCCAAATAAGTAAAATAAAACTTTACTATTGATTTCATGACATAGTGTTATATACCAAATTGTTTGAAATAACCTTTAAAATGATATATAAGTCAATGTACCATATTGAATGTAACTATTTTTTATCCTGATTTGAAGTTGGGTATTGGTTTTTTTGCCCACCCTGTATATCAATAATCCCAAATTTATCTTAAAGTTAGAATGATCGGATCGTACAAATTCACGACACCTGGAAAAATCTCATGGTTTTTACAGACCCAAAAACAAATACCTTGTATAATGTCTTTCCTCGTCCTTTGAATATTTTTCTCACGATAACAGTCAACGGGATCTTTTTGTTCTGAATGGATGCGAGAATTTGGTTAGCTGTGACTAGAGAAATAATCATTTGAACCTTTACTTTAGTATATCTGGTCATTTTCTGTGTCATTCTTGAGGAATCTAGCGTAATATATTCTTCATTAGTTTATACAATAACGTAAAGTCAAATTTTTCATCATAAGAATCCGTTATACACCAGGCGTGTTTTTCAGTTGAGGAAATGATTATCTATTTTTAACGAGATATCTGCTTTTATATGGTTTATTGTATGCACTTTAAATTTATTGTACTTCATTTTCCTTCATTACAGGCGTCGTCCAAGATAATCCTCTAAAGGCCTATTAGTCTATATGTGATAGCATGGCAACACGCGTTATGGATGGGCGTACATCTGTGACGTGTGGAAATTGGAGAAGCGGTGGTTCAGACAAGAAATTCAGACGTCTGTACGAAGCTTGTCAAAATGATGATGAAACAGCTTGTTTGGAACTTGGAAAATGTTACGTTTATGGTCCCTCTGGATTCCATAAGGACATTTTGCTTGGAGAGTTTTACATTGCTAAAGCCGCAAGACAGGGTAACAAAGAGGCCATTGTGTTACTGAACGAAATACCAGCATTACTGTCAGAAGGGCCTGTTGAAAATAGAGACAACGTTTGGATTGAGGAAGCGTCTGCCAAGTTGAAAAGAAGTAAAGGGAATTGTGTATTGCCTCGTCTTCCTGTTGGGAGCTACATATATATTACAGAAAACGAATTTACTGTTGTAAATAAAGAGCGGGCAAAACAATCACAGGGTGCATTGACGGACGGTTTACGAAGTTGGCAAAAAGCATGGCCAAAGGAAATAGTTGACTCATTTGAGGATTCCCCTACTGCAAGAAAATACGTCAAAGCCATCGAACTCATGCAAGCTGGGCACAACATGCTCGTCAATCCACCAAATAAGGAAGATCGCTTCAAACAAGTGGAAGGCATTCACTTGTACATGGAAGGTCATTTCTATGAGCCAATGGCAAAGAACACAGTTCCATTATGGCAACCTCATTTTGATGATGTTGATAAGCTTATAACGGATACACTGAAAGAAAACAAAAATGACTTTGCGTGTCGTCTTTTAAGGATATGTATGTATTCTGAAATCGAGCCATATCGGTCAAATTCGGAAGATCTTATCGTGACGCTCGAGATTTTGGTGAATGATATCAACGTGTACACTGCAACAGACAGACAAGTTCAAGAGAACAAAGGAACTGAGCGTGTGAAGATGATTAAAGCTGATGCTTTGGAAATTCTCGGTGCCTTGTACTTCACTTCAGACCAATACTTGAGGTCAAACGACAGTTTTGGAAAATGTCTTGATATTTTCCCTTCACATCCGGGTGCTTTATATGGCGTGGCATTCACTCAGTTCAGAAATGATGCGGCCCCAATACGCAATCATGATAATACACAAAATCCAATTGAAAATGAAATGGAGCAAAATGTCACTGACCAGAACAAGGACATAGGAAAAACTGAATCTGAATCAGCATTCAAACGGTACCTACGCATTGCTCCGAAGTGCGACCGTAAATATCACTCCGCACTCTACATGTCAGCCTTTGAGAGCTGGCAAAACAATAACTGTCGGGATATGGTGGATCTCTTTGAGATGGCCGTGAATATTGAGAAGAAATCTTTACCTATGTACCATATGCAAAATAAACCTGCAGGCTACAATATAATAGTGGCGATGTATCCTTTCATTAAGTCTCGCCTATGTGCCAATACAAACTGTACCTTCCAAAGTAAAGATCCCGAAGAGGTTCTGCGTGCACCACCGGGAAAACGTTGCAGTAAGTGTAAGATGGTGAGATATTGCACAAGCGATTGCCAGGCTGCCCATTGGCCAAAGCATAAACTTACGTGTAAGAAAATAAAGTGAAGACGTGCTGTACATATACACGTACATGTAAAAGAATGAAGTGACAAAAATCAGTACATACATTTAAATGTAACAGGATGAAGTGAAATTTTCGTTTTGCATAGTTAATAAAAATGTTGAAAAAATCGAAATGATCTAATATACGTATGTATCACCTTTGAAACCATCGAATATCACTTTTTAAGAAGTAATATTTGATGTTTGATTTTTTGCGAAAATATATCTTGATCCACATATCAAATATTTCATTGGGTGATACCCTTGGCACCATAGGATTAAAAAATGATCGTGTTTACTAGTAGAAGAACCACTAATTAACCACAATACCTGATCAAGAATAAATACAAGAGATAATTTGAATTAACACATAATACATCTAACATAGCAACACCAAACGAATGACTGTTAAAAATGAAATTTGATAACTTTTGTAACTTCTTCAACACTAGAAAGCACAACTGAAACTATTCATCCATTCTTAAAAAGAGTTAGAGAGTATATTTTTCATAAATTTTCCAAGAAATTAGGACTTTCAAGTATTTTAGCAGTCATTCTTTATTAGTATCAGTAGAGTTTAGGTTTAAAAGTGTTCACGTTTCCCTGTCCTGTACTAGCTGAGTTTTGCTCCAGCGTGTTTCTGACCACAAACACGTTTCCTCCTGGCCTGAAATATGATAATAATTCATTTTAATTAAAGAATTATAAAAAAATTAATACATATAACTATTATTATACAGAGATTAATTTTAAAACACAATTTCTTTGATAATACATACTTCATAATTATATAATATACATTGAATCTTTTCATAAAATGACGTTACATGAAGTAAAAGTTTCTGCTCATTGAATGGCGTTTTATCTATTCATTCCCTTTGCACAGCAACATTAACTTGCAACTGTCCTTTCAACATGTCTCAGAATTAGCCAGAAATCCCCTCTTTTTAGATAATTGTCAAATTGCAAGTTTGCAAAAATCCAAAAACGAAAGGTTGCCATTTTCCCATTGAACCCTGGATTAATTCATTCTTTTCCTCCCACTTACCATTCAACATACTGTACTATGCTATTTAATTTCACCTACCCATTTTAAAAGTGAGATACCCAAGGTGGTCAACCTTTCAACACAGGAAGTACCCAAAGTTTCCCTCGATAGAAACATGTCAAAAAACGCACAGAGATATAAAGTCTAATGGAAAAAAACTTACACTGTGTCCCATTGACCGTGTGTGTTTGCGAGGACGGTATTCTACAAATTCGCTTCAGCAAAATTGCATACCTAGTGTTAAAATCTAAGGAAAACGTTTTAAAATTTAAATTAACACTCATTGCTTACCAGCAAAACAAATGTACTGTTTAAGGTGCAGACCAACCCATGATAGGTCTTCAAAGCTCGCTCCTGGTACCTGCATATTTACAACTGTACAATTATGTGGCTCAGAGGCAACGTATTTCCACTCTCTATCATATCCATGATCAGTTCTACCCACCCAATGCGGCAGTCCTTTTTACATGTAAAATACACATTTAAAAATAAAATTAACAATTCCCATAGTAAACAGACCCGTAGCCAAGGGGGATCTATTGGTTCGAGCGAACCCTCCCCCCTCCTTGGCCAAAATTCTTTCAAAATTATGTAGTTTTTCACCATTCTGAGCACTTTTTATGTGCCTGAATAGTATAGTTTCTAAATAGCTAAATAAAGCTGAATAAAGCTGACATAATAGATGTCACCGTTGTTCATCTTGGGCCAACCTTCCTTTGAGTTCTATGCTAAAAGCTTGCAATAGTCACTTAATTTCATGATTTATCAAAGAGTGCTAGTTAAATCTGTCTGAAACTTGAATGGCATACTGTTAGGGGAGGCATCAAAAGTTCAATGTCTGATAGGAAACTAAATAAATCTAGTTTTGAGTTGGACCCCCCTCTCCCCCTCAAAACTAAATACAATGAAAGTTGATCACGGACTTTTCACATGTTTTAGCGACTCACTTTGGACTTTCATGGGGGCAGTACTATAACTTATGTATAATTCTTAAAATATGTGCCAACAACAATAGGCATTATATTCCATGTTGCATGCATCTTGATGAAGAATGCATCTGGTAAAGTCTTTATTTTTAAACCATTCCAAGGCATTCCAAGTCAAAATTGCAAAAACTTAAATGTTGAAATTTGTCGGACAGCAAACTAAAATAGCTTTGACCCCCTCCCCCCAAACTAGATTTATTTAGTTTTCTATCAGACATTGATCTTTTGATGCCTCCCCTTAAATGATCCTGTCAATGAACATATTGTGATTAAACATGAAAATGTTGGTTTTCATACGATTAAACCATGGTTTTAAAGAATTTTAGCATAACATCAAAGGAGATTTGGCCCAAGTTTTTTTAAATGTCATGGAGAATGATTTAAATGACATAAATGTGTAAATCAAAGCCATTATTGTAGGAAACATATCACTGAATTCAAATATGCCATTAAAAAGAAAGAAAAGTAAGTCAGAGGTAAGTAGAGGTAAAATGTGCAAATCTCTTAAAATCTCATGAAAAACGAGAATTAGCGAGATTTCAAAATCATTTAGAAACTCCTCTATTTGAAAAGGTTCATTTCTGCGTCTTGATGATCAGAGTACTATGCCTACAGCGATATATTTTTATGTTATCATTTTGTTACCATGGTAGATATTTTTTACCCGAATTATAAAAAACTTTTGATTGACATTTCCAATAAATTCCATTGTAATGAATAATAAGATTGAATTCTTGCTAATTTTCAAAAGTCAAGTCTTCTAATCAACTTTCGAAACATCAGTACATACAGTCTATGACTTTACAAGTCTAATTTATCTCAGCCTTTTTGGCGTCGCTAAAGCTGACTAGAGAAAGGTATATAGGGGAACATGGGGCAAAACGGCCCTCTGGGGCAAAGTGGCCCATCGAAATATCTTTTGAACTATAAAAAGATGGTTCTTCAAAAGTCACAAAATCGAATTTTGAAATATCTGCCACCTTCTCGACCGTCCATTTTTAACCAAGCAGCGTCTCGCTTTACGTAAGAGGTAATTCTACTTTTCACCCTCTTTTTTGGAAATTACCCCTCTCACGGGAATCTCTAAAAAATCCGGCAACAATAGAATATCGTTTTGATTTAACATTTTACATAGAGTGTGCACATTTATTCTTTATTTGTAAAAATTTCGAGCTTCAAATATTAGGCAAATTAAAATGACGTCTATTTGAAAATTCACATGTCTTTGGGGCAAAACGGCCCACACATGTTATAACATACAAAAATCTTATTGTGCAAGAACAATTTGTTTTCAAATGTAACAATTTTAACATCTGGCTTGTGCCTTATTTCCTTCCGACACATATCGAATGACTAGAATTATGGTAGGGGTTAAGAATACTTTATCTGTCAAAGGTTTGAACGTCTGAGATAAGATGTTTGTGGACGAGTCTTGTAATTGATTAATTTTGGTTTCAAAACCCATGTAACAGAGGGTGGGCCGTTTTGCCCCACCCATGGGCCGTTTTGCCCCACTCTCGACAATATTTTTGACCATTAAAAAATCACAGAAGATAGTCCTAGGAAAGTATAAAACACTCGAAAAATGTAAACCACAAACCATTAATTAAGTGGAACATCAAAGCGCGCGATGATTGACAGATACGAAAATACCCCGTACACAACAACTTTTTTCAATTTTTTGGGCCGCTTTGCCCCATGTTCCCTTACATACTGAGAGAAATTCAAACTGCGTTATAATAATGCATGTTGACGTAAGCAAACTATACACGGACAACAACATGAATTTTCACTCACCAATAACATTATTTTCCCCCCAATATCTTTATTTCTCTGCGCTGCATCAATTGTGTCTTGCCCATCGTCAACCATTTGTTCACCTTTTTTCCACGTCCTGCCACCAGTCGCCAAGACAACGATTTTATTGACACAGTTTTGCTTGCGTGCAAATGCATCTAATTGTTTTCGAGCTGCCTCTGTGGTTTAGAAATAATTATTAACACAAAAGTCAACATGAAGTTACATGTAGCAAAAGTCCAGGGCATAATCTTCACGCATAGAACTGAAAGGGGAAAACGAATTCTCAAACTAGACGAGAACAATGAGTGAAATTAAGAATTCAAAATGTGTCAAAATCTATGCCATTTAGGGTACTGAAGTTTGAACCTTAGCAATGCCATTGTACAGAGTTGTTTTTTAGAACTGAATAAAAGGAAAAAATCTTTTAACTAGATTAAACAGTTGGTGACCTTGAACATACCAAGCGCAAGGTGTGTTGATGTATATCTGTATGTCGTTCTGGGAATTTTTTTAATGACGTCTATTAGGACAGCATTTCCATATTGGCCAAGTTCTGCATAGACTTCAACATCACCTGCATACATTATCAGACCAATCTGGAAATGTACAATATGTGACCAGGCTTTATATACAGGGTGGTCCAAAAAATGGGACACTCGTATTTCAAAAATAAACAATGATTGTATTTACGAAAACATGTCATATTATATACCAGTGGATAGGGAATTTACTTTTCTTTAATTTTGTATCTCATGAGTTCAAATCGATTATAATACATGTCAACAAGCGTCCATAATACAAATGACATCATTTTCGTTTCAAAACGGGTTTTCAAAAACTTGCAAAAACAAGTCGTTTGTCTACAGAAACAGATGTTCAACGCGTCCTCCATTTTGATCAATTATAGCCCCCAATATTGGCCAATTTTTCTTTTGACCACCCTGTACAGTTTGCATATTTGTTTATTTATTATTTCCTGGCATGTTAAATCGTTGATGTAATCCTCTACGACAGTTCAAATGGTTTCACTTTTAAGTTGTGTCTATATATGAAGTCTTCAGTTGGTCCATAAGTGGCGTCTCAAAATCTCAACTTGTTCCAAAATGGCGGCCATTTTTATATCCGAAAATCGATTTTTTACCTACCTGTATTGTGCAATCTGTGTCAAGCTGATCCGGCTCGAGAATATTGTCTTGGGCTTTGATAAAATCATTCACAAATTCTAAAAGAGTGTTGAAATCGTGTCGCTTTATCCTGTTTGAGCGATCGAGGATAAACACAATATCAGCTGAACATCCGGTAAAGCACGGTGCTGGAATCATAACAGCT